CCCTATTGAATATCTGCATAATGAAGTATAGAGGGTAAAAGATTGGTTAAGAACCACACAGATTAGCTGGCAAGACCCCTCACCTGACGCATGTGCATTTTGCAAGTCTAATCTATTCCCTTTGAGTTCCTACAACTCTTCTTACCATGAGATTAGCTAGTTCTTATGATGGGTTTGGCAAAATTAATTTGGATTTATCAGGTTGTACATTGGTTAGATTAATTATTGAAACCAAATATCTAAAAAGAAGAATAAAAACCTGAGTATTTCTGAATTAAGAATACAAATGTGAAGCATGAAAAAAGTAGTCAATCATGGGCTAAAAGGCCATGCATGCACACAGAGTGCAACTTGCAACTTTATTCTAGTTCTTTCTTTGTATCTTCATATGGCAATTTTATTTGGCATCTTTAAAATTTTTGTTATAAGACAGTGTAGCAAGTTAAGTGAATACTGTTTAACCATTCAGTTATCATTTTATGACTCACATATTAAATATGGGTCTCTGCATGTTTTTATGAATAAAATTTTATTGGAATACAAACATGTGCATTCAATTATGAATTATGTATAGTTGTTTTTGCACTAGTAGTTTAGCAAGTAGTCATGACAGGGCTCAGAAAGTCTAAACATATTTACTGTCTGGCCCATTATAGAAAACCTTGGTGAGTCTCTGGTTAAAACTTCCATCTCTTATTGTTCTAGATGGGAATTATACTTTCTAGACACAGCCTTCTACTGTCTTATTCTCTGACCCATTTGATCTGTTTTTGTTTTTCTACTTCACCAAAATACTCCATTTTTAAGTTATCTTTTTGTATAGCAAATTTATGTTTATGTATTTTCCTCTTCTCAGTAACCATCACAATTAATTCTAATCCAAACTTTTTTTAACTTGAATGTAAAAGAGGTTACAGGTGGCTTGGTTTCTGCATTCAGTCAATTCAAAGAAAAATAAACTCAATCAAAATGAAAAGATATAATTGAAAAAATTTAAATATTTGGTTAGGCTCTAAAGAGAATGCTAAAGAGACTAAGGAAGAGTGTGTTCTTAATGAATAGTTGACTATTTCAAAATCTCATTATCCCAGAATCACTGATTTCAATGCTCTCTCCTAGATGGAAGACAGATGCTATGGTGGATGCCATGGTATGCTGCCCAGACCTCCTTTCCAGGAGCAAAGCACTCACTTCAGATGTCAGGCCCTTTTTGAAAACTGCCCTCAGTCAAAGGGAGCCAGCTACTTCACTCATAGTTAAGTTCTTTTGTAGGGCATCCTGTATCTACTGATAGTTGAAGTTTGCGCACCTTGCTTTCATTTGAGACAACCTCTAAGGCCAGCCTGGTTCCAGTACTCCCCGTATAATTCATCAAGGCCTCTCTGGTGATTACATGACAGTTCAAACCCTTCTTCTGCCCAAGTCTATTTCTGTCTTTCCCTTACATGTGTTACTTCTGGGGGCATCCCCCTCTCAACCCCTATAGGCAAACCTCTGCCATCCAGCCTGTTTCTCAGGGAGACAAACTTAAGACAGCTGTTCTCTTCAAACTCTTTCTCTCATCCCATTTCCTGCTATACCTTGTCTTTTTAGATTTTTTACTTGTCCCTCCTCACAGTCCTGTTTCCTCCATTGCTGTATAAAACAATTTTCTCTCAATGGAGTTCACTACCTTTTTAAAAACTTTACCATTAAGATATGAAGGAAATCCATAGCTAGTTCTATAATTTATGGTAGTGTGTTTCAATGTCTAATTTTAGGCTCTCAAAATAGTTTCTTGTAAAAGATGGACTTGAGGAGCTGGGGTTGTGGCTCAGCGGTAGACAACTCACCTAGCATGTGTGAGGTACTGGGTTCAATCCTCAGCACCATGTAAAAAAAATAAAGGTATTGTGTCCAACTACAACTAAAACAAACAAACAAAACAGATGGACTTGAAATATCAGGTCTATTCTTTTAGTGTTTAACTGTTTCATTTTGAACAGAATATCTAACCAAAAACCATTTAAAGTTGTGCTTTTTACCTTATGTATTTAAAAGGCTTTAAATGATTATTGGAGGGTAAACTGTAGAGTGAAAACTCGTCTTCTGTAGCCCTGCAAAATCATTTGCTTCAAAATGAAATGCTCTGGCATAAACAACAAGGGAAAAATAAGAAGTCAAACATATTTTAAACTCCTAACATTGAGCTCTTGTTTGGCAAGTATGTCTCAGAAAAAAAGGAAAGAAAGAAGGAAGGTAGGAAGGAGGAAGGGATTGAGGGAAGGAGAGAAAAGGAGAGAGAAGGAATGGAGTAGAGTGGGAGAGAAGGAGGGGGAAGGAAAGTAGGGAAGAAGCAAAATAGAACATGACAACCACTATGAAACCAATCAGAAAACAGTTGTTTATTCATTAATTACTTTGCATATAGTACCTCTGAGAATTCTAGAAGGATTATCTTTTCTGAAGACCAAATGTTTAATTTTGTGAAATATCCAGCGTTGGCATCAGTTAGAATAAACAACTCATCTTTATTCAACTTGAAATTAAAAGTAAGAAAATAAATGGAAAGAGTAATATGAGGTGGGGGGAGTTTAGTTCTATTAATAAATATGAAAATAACCTATATAGTCTTCAAAATGAAACAATTATAATATTGAGGAATGATTAGTCAGAAGATCAATATCAGTTAGTAGACATACAAAAATATACATAAATGCAAATGGAAATTTAATACATGAAAATGTTTCCATCTCATATCACTGGTGTAACAATGGACTTCATGTTGGTCCTTTATTTTTATATAATAAGCTTGTCTTCTTTATAGTTTCTGACTTAAATTCTAATTCGTTTGATATTAGTGTAGTTATCACTGTTTTCTTTTGATTTTCATCTTCATGGAATGACTTTTCCAATACCTTCACTTTCAATCTATGTGTGTCCTTAAAGGTGAAGTGAGTCTCTTGTAGGCAGCATATACTTGGTTCTTGTTTTGTTTAATACATTTGACCACTTTGTATCTTTTTTTAAAAAATTGTTTTAGGTTGAAGGTAGACACAATAACCTTTATTTTATTTTTATGTGGTGCTGAGGATCAAACCCAGTGCCTCACGTGTGCTAGGCAAGTGCTCTACTGCTTTGCCACCACCCCAGTTCACTCTGTGTCTTTTGAATAGAGAATTTAATGCATTTTACACTCAAGATAATTGATAAGAATTCACTGCTGGCATTATATGGTTACTATATAGTGATAAAAGGATAAATTCATGAAGAAAATAAAAGAATTATATATATATGTATGTGTGTGTATATATATACATATATATAATTCTTTTATTTTCTTCATGAATTTACCCTTTTATCACTATATAGTAACCATATAATGTTAAAATGGTAAATTCATGAAGCAAATAAAATAATTATATATATGTATATATATGTATGTATGTATGTGCGTGCGTGCGTGTGTGTGTGTGTGTACACACATATACATACACACCTCCATTCAACATTGGCAAACCTAAATACACAAAGTAAATATTTAATAGACCCAAAGGGAGGGATAGACAATAATATAACAATAGTAAGGGACTTCAATAATTTACTTTCAACAGACAGAAATAAATTAAGAAACATTGGATTCCAACTACAGACCAAAGCTCAAGAGCAGCAGAAGACATACTCTTCTCAAACACACATGAAACATTCTCCAGGATAGACCCCATTCAGCCACAAAACAGGTCTTAAAAAAATTAAGGAGAATGAAATCATACTATGCTTTCTTATCGAAATAGTGTGAAACTAGAAATCAATAATAGTGGGAAATCTGGGATTTGCACTAATATGTAGAAATCAAGGAACATCCATCCTCTGGAACCTCCAATAGATCAAAGAAAAAATATCTAAAGGAAATAAAAAAGTACCTTGAGACAAACAACATATGAAAATGTAGAGGGCGCAACAAAAGTAGTTCTAAAAGGGAAGTTTATAGCAATTTGTGACCACTGAAGGGTAATGGAAAATAATATTCCTACAAGACAGCTCCCCAAGAAAAATGGAGGGACAATGTGGTGTGGAGGAGAGAGGAAAGGTAGCTAAACAAGAAACCTCTCCCAGTACATCATTTCCCAGTAATAACGGACCCTGAGGGAAAAAGCAAACATTCATCCCTCCCTGGGTTCATCCCCACCATCTCCACCAAAAGCAAACATTCACCCCTTCCCAATCACAATGGGTCCCGAAGAAAGGAGGCAAATACTGAAATACTGGGCTCTGGACTTTTACCCTTTCCCATTACAGATGAGTCCTGGAAGGAGAAAAGCAAATAGTGAAGCTCTCAGTAACAATGAGTCCCAGCGGAAGGAGTAGTGAGCTTTCCCAGTGATGAGGAGTTTCAATCTTTTTACAACTGCCTTCCTAAGTTAAAATTTTAACCTGCATAACTAGATCCCTGACTGTCCAAACTGCACACCCCCAGTCTCCAATGATTAATTCACCCTCATTGTAAACTCTAAACCCCAAACTCCTTCTGTAACCTGGGTGGGGGCATTTCCCATACCCAGAAAATGACCTTCCTGTTCCTGATGGATTGATTTCACTGCAGAATAGAGGAAAGCTTGCTGATCTGAGGTTTGCTTCCTCCTGCCTCCATCACTTGTGTACTATGCGCTTACAACCACATTGAAAAAGACTGGGATTGCGGCTTAGCGGTAGAGCGCTTGCCAAGCACTGGCGGGACCTGGGTTCCATACTCAGCATCACATAAAAATAAAGGCATTGTGTTGTGTCCATCTACACCTAAAAAATAAATATTTAAAGAAAAAGACTCTCAAAAAAAAAAAAAAAAAACAGCCTAATGTTAAATATCAAGGAACTTGGAAAATAACAAATTAAGGGCAAAGTTAGTAGAAAACAGAAATAGTAAAGATTCCAGTAGAAACAAATGAACTAGTGCAAAATCAAAAGAAGTGCTGGTATTTGGAAAGACAACCTAAATCAACATTTAGCTACACTAACCACACTCAGATTTCTAAAACAGCTTTATTTAGGCACTATTGTATCTTCATTTTCTGCCGTCTTTTATTAAATGTTCAGGTATTGAAAATTTGTCTACATTTTACAGATTTGATTTCCCATTTTCTTTCTTAATAATGCAAATTCCATTCCCGCAAAGTTGTTTAATAGATGGGGGGGGGGGCGGATTACATGTAGGAAATTCATGTGATATCCTCTTTGGGAACTTTACCATTGAAGACACTTCTTTCTCTGGAAGATCTGTTATCTATTCCTCATATCCTATGAAAAGAGAAAATAAGTTGACCTTTTCCAATTCTTTCTAGCAAAAGTCAACAAAAATTTACCTAATTTGAAAATGTTAACCACAAAATATTGATAGACAATCAAAGTTTTTCTACTCTGAGATTTTATTGTTATTTTAATATTTAGGGATCAAATGCCTTAAGGAAGTATTACCTTGGGTGTGAATTTGACAAAGAAAAAAAGGTCAAATATTTGAAGTAAACCCAAAACTTGTTGTCTCCAGTGAGAAAAAAATTTGTGCATAATCAGTGAATCTCTACTTTTAGCAAATCATCTTCTGAATTTATTTTCTAGGAAAGAAATGAGGATGAAGAGCAATGCTATTACTACCTCTCCTGGAAAATTGTTCCTTTTGTAAATTTTGTAAATGAGGAGCATCACAGATTAATAACACACACACTATATAACATCTTACAGGTTCCATACTTTGCTTCTCCACAAGTCAGAAGTCTCCTGGTTCTGGCTTGCACTTTTAAGACTATCATATGCAAATAGGCTCCCAATTTGTAACTCCAAAAGATGCTGAGTCTCCCTCCACATTCAGACCATCTTTTCTTGATCTCTATGACACTGTTGTCTCATGCTTTTTTATCTTTTTCCTAATTCCTTTTGCAAGATTTTTATTTCCCTTATTAACCTTTTAATGCAGCATGGAAAATAATCTTGCCTTGTGAATTCGATTACCATTTATTCCTTATAATGGATCTAATATAACTAATGGTTCTCTATCTGTAAGCTGTTTCTACCTAAAATAAAGAAGAATACAACCCTGTGCTCTTTTCCAACCATTTCTCCTACAAATTCTCGTGGAATTTAAAGTGGAGGGGAAAAAACCCTGAAATAAAGTAAATTCTCTGTAGTCTTCTGGTTTGATTTCAACTCTGGGAAAAAGTAGCAATTGCCTGCACTTTAGCTCCTCTTCTGAAATAGCTTTCTGAAACATCTCATTCCAATATCACCAACACAATTTCTACATAACAGGATCTAGGAGTTGGCAATGGAGTGTGTATGTGCTCAATATTTCATCCTTGCCCTTTAAGGTTAGCTCTGCTCTTCACTCAAATTTTGGAACCTAAAATGTGGTTCCAGGCTTTTAGCATTTGCCTCTGTGGTCCAGAACACCATAATAATCTAGATGTAACCTCCAACCCCCTAAAGTTATTTTTAGTGGTAATTATAAAGGACCTTATAGCACCCTTTCCTCAATCATATTATCTAAAAATTTTTGAGGTCCATTTAATCAAGTGAACAGGTGGTGTGGGGTAGGGGCACAGTTCTGACTCCAATTGGGGCTCTGGGATCTAAGCCTGAGCAGCAAAGTGGCAATAGGCCTGCCCAGGAACTGGGTGATGAGCCAAAGGAAGCTAAGAGTTGAGTCCTGAGTAAGGGAGAGCCTTATAACTAAGGGAAAGATTAAAGAATTGAGTCGAAGAGAGGACACTGGGTCACCTAAGGTAATAGGTAAGATGAAGTGAATTAATTTAGGGAAAGTGTGCAAAGATTCCTTAAGGCAAAGTTCGTTTTTGTTAAGTTTTCTGGGTTGAGTATGAATTGAGGAACAAAGGAAGCAATTACATCCCCAACTGAGTCCAAAAATTTTAACACTTCTCCATCAACATTGTGGTTTTTTTTACCAACTCTAGTGTAGCTATTGAAGTTATAAGAGTATGTCTCAGAAAGGAGAACAATGAAATCTGCTGTTACGTTTCCCATTCATACTTTAATTTTGATGGTGGAATAAGTAAGGAAGGGATTTTCAACTGTCAGTTACTGGAAAGGCCCAGGACACCCCATAAAATAAATGGAAGTACTTGCCACCAACATTCCAGGTGTTTACAGGAACCGTTACTCCTCTTGAATAAATGTTGGTTCTATATCTGTTCAAAATAGTGGTGAATGTAGAATTAGGCTTATTTTCAGAATAGTTAGGGTTAAAATTATTTTATTAGATAGAGCACATTTATATAATATTTTGTTTTCCTTGCTTTATTATATAGAATTCTCTTTTTAATCTATCCACAGAAGAATTAAAGCATTTGATTATAAAAAATCAATTAAAATAAATGGAATGTCATTTAAAATATCAATAATTAGTAATAAATTTAACAATTGCTTATTTTATTTTCTGTATCCCCTTACTAGAGTGTAAACTCTGTGAAGGCAAGGGTTTGATCTTTTTTTAAAAAAATATTTATCTTTTTAGTTATAGGTGGACACAAAATCTTTATTTTTATGTGGTGCTAAGGATTGAATCCAGTGCCTCACGCATGGTAGGTGAGGGCTCTACCTCTGAGCCACAACCCCAGACCTTGATCTTTCTTTTTCATCATTACATCCTTAATGACAAAGATACTACCTAGTGCATAATGAGTATTTAACAAAGGTTTTCAGAAGGAATAGATGAGAATCAAGGAGGCACCAAGTATGTGGGCAAATATTTATATTCCCTTAACATTTAGAACTTTTTAAAGTGCTTTAGTGTTTATAATTATATGGCTGAAAACAAGAATATTATATCAAATCAGCAATCAATATTTTGATGCTTCATTGGTCATTTAAGGGTATTATTTAAAAGAAAGACTGATGTTTCTACAAGGAATTAATTTTTTTTTTTTTTTTGGCACCGCTAAGGATAGACCTCAGCACCTTGCATGTGGTAGGCAATACTCTACCACTGAGTTGCATGTCCAGCAGACTGATGCTTCCAGAAGCCAACCAAGATCATTGGATTTTAAAGTACAATAAGTCTTTTAAAAAATTTTTTTTTGTTCTAATTAGTTATAATGACAGCTGAAGGCACTTCAATTCAAAGTACACAAATGGAACATGATTTTCCACTTCTCTGGTTGTACAATAAATCCTTAATAGTATAAATTCTTCTAGCAGAATACAGTTTCCACCTAATTAACAAGGCCTAGAATATCTATAGTACAAAATCAAACAGAAGAGATGGTATGAGAATAACTAAGTTAAACAAAAACTAAGTGCAATTGTTGAACCGTATTTGCAGAGAGGATTCATGTTTTTTTCTTCTGAATTGTAGATTAAAGAATCTTCCCTGTAATTTTAGCTGCTCAGACGCTGAGGTGGGAGGATCGCAAGTTCAAGGCTAGTGTCAGCGATTTAGGGAAAATACGTCTCAAAATAAAAAATAAAAAGGACTGGGGCTCTCCCAGCCTAAGTCGCAGCGACAAGGCTAAACACACCAAGAAGGTCGGGATTATTAGTAAATATGGGACCCTCTACAGTGCCTCCCTCCAGAAAATGGTTAAGAAATTTGAAATCAGCCAGCATGCCACGTACACTTGCTCCTTCTGTGTCAAAACCAAGATGAAAGAGACCAACTGGGGGGATCTGGCAGTGCTGATCCTGCATTGAAAACAGTGGCTGGCGATGCCTGGACCTACAACACCACTTCCACTCTCACAGTCAAGTCTGCAATCAGAAGGCTGAAGGAATTGAAAAAAACCAGTAGAAGTTCTACCATTTGAGACATCCCTAGCCTATAATAAATGGGCTAATTTATATAACAACAAAAGGACAGGGAACATAGCTCAGTGCTAGAGCGCCCCTGGGTTCAATCCCTAGTACCACAAAACAAACAACCTCTCCCCAAGCTTTGCTGATGGCTCTTTGCTCAACACCCTACTCTTAGGGGTAAAATTTGCCACTTTATACATAAATACAAAGAAAATGATTACACAAGAAGTCAGGATCTTGGAAGGAAAATATAAAAAATAAAAGTAAATAAAAAGCAGCCTCTTGCCACATATGTAATGTGTTCAAGAGCTCTTTCTTTCCCTACCTTTCTTTGTTATTTTTTTAGAGGTAAAGAATAAGGAGGCGGGGGTGGGGTGTAGAATAAGGAATATCTTCTATCTTATCCTATCTTGTCCTTATATGTTCACAAAGAAAGAACAGAAAATCTTGAAGCTAGAGAAATACAAATTCATAGACAAAAATGGAGGTCTTAAACAAGCAGAATATTTAGGCAGTCCTTATATTTTTTCCTAAGCCTGTTAGTGGACACCTATTTTATCTTTGGTTCTATCTATCTTATCTGTGGGTCCTTCTTATAAAAGATTTATGATCTGAATAAAGAAAATAAAACCATATTGAGCATTAGGAGGGAAAAAAACCCAAATTTATAGGCAGATATGAACTACAGAAATATTCTCCAAACCTTTGGCAAACTCACTTTGAAACAAAATCACATGATAAGGTACCATAGGAAAAGAAAAAAAATACTAAAATGAGGATGATAAGAGAACCTAAAAGTTCTCCTAATTCAGTAGAATAATCAAGAGAATTCTACTAATTTTTGTACATTAGAACCTGATGTCAGAGGACTTTCAGAAGAATGTCCATTGGAAGAAAATGAAAACATTTTATTAAGTATAAGACAAATGGTCAAAGCGGTAGGAATAAACATATATGGATTTTTAACAAGAAATAATTAAAATAGTTATAAACTGTAGAAAATTCAGAAATTGTATTGAAAAGTCACAGTGTACGCATGAAGCAAGCTGAAATGCAGCATGATCTTGAGAAATGGAGAATAAGAAAAGAGAATCCACTTGGTCTTGACACCTTGAAACAATGCAAACTAGTAGTATAGCATTGTGTTTCCTACTTCCACTTTGGTTCCTTAGTGAACAATATTTAAACCATTATAATATGTTTTAGTCTCTTAAGTAGTTTAAAAAATTTATGCTCAAACCATAGAGTAAGCACTTCAAGATAATTATATCCCAGGACACAACATAAATATTACACATTTGGCAGGGTTAAATTAATGAGAAAATTTACAGGATTTAAGAGATAGAAGGAAAGGATGAATGTAAGAAAATACAGGGAATCAAATTGTCTTATTTTAAAAATAATGGGAGAAGTACTGAGATATAAAAATAGAGGTTAAATGGATTATTCAAAGTCCACAAGATAGCCAGCAGAAGAAATATTAGTAATCTTAAGGTCTAATAAGCACAAAGAATGACAAATAATAATTTTAAATCCCCAAATAAAAAGATGATATTATCTACTAACAACAAAATAATAAAAAATTCATTGATAGTGAAAGATAAAATCTTCAACTTTCATGACGGGGAATCAATGAATAGCATGTAAAGTCAGTAAGTCAGGAAAAACCTGTAATACCAGCAGCTCAGGAGGCTGAGGCAGGAGGATCGTGAGTTCAAAGCCATCCTCAGGTATTTAGCAAGCCCTGACTAACTTCGTGAGACCCTGTCTCTAAATGAAATTTAAAAAAGGGTGGTGATCTGGTTCAGTGGTTGAGTGCCCCTGGGTTCAATTCCTGGTACTAAAAAAAAAAGGGCTGGGGTTGTGGCTTCAGCGGTAGAGCACTGCCTAGCACCTATGAGGCCCTGGGTTCTATCCTCAGCACCACATAAAAATAAATAAATGAAATAAAAGGTATTGTGTCCAACTATTTAAAAAAAATAAAATATTTTTTAAAAAAGAAGTCATGAAAAGAAGATATAACTATCTAATTCAAATAAGAGGAAGTAACCAGCAAAAGAAGTACAAAGTACGTTCTATGTAACATTTCAAAAGTTTGACAGTACAAATATGATTTAAAGATGTTTTGATGAGTGACATTTGTAACTAAGAGGATAATATCTGGCAAGAAGGTGTTGGAAATAGGAAAATTAATTATTTTTTCTTTTCAAGCTATAATTTCTGTACTTTTTAACTTATCCTTACCGTGTGGATATATTATTTTATGACATAAAAACATAAAACATTTCCTAATAATGAGCTTAGCATTCTTTTCACTGATAGTATTCCAAAGTGTTATGCTATAATTTCATTATAACTATTATATTATAATAGTGTTATTGGACTCAATAATATCCTCGTTCCAGGACTTACTTATAAGAAACTCTTAGAATACTAAAACAACATAATACAAGGATAAAATAAACATACTCATGCATGAAATGGTAATAGGCACAGCAATACCACAGAAAAGCTATCAATAATATTCCTGTGAGTATCAGCATCACGATTCCAAACATGTCAACTGAAACATATGAAAAGAAATATGTTTTAATGATAGAAAATATTTCTTACATCTTTATCCTATTATCACTTGTAATGTGATTATCAGATACATATTACAAATCATTATTGGAAATAATGATAAAATAACATGTATCACAAATTCCAATGAAACTGCATTTAATACAATAATCACCAACATCTAAAAATAATCTGGGTGCTAAAAGGAGGTAACCTTTAAATCTTCTCTATTTTGGTAAATGATTAAGGCTCTCATTTATTTTTCTCCATTATTTTTTCTTGAATTACATTTTTGGTATTTTCTCAATAGATAAAATAGCAGATCTTTCAGATTATAAGGATGCACATAGACATCATGATGTGGTTTTTTGTTTGATTCATTATCAAAAAGAAAGAAAGAAGATTTCTAATTCTCACAAACTTTTTATTCCCCTCTACTATGCAGCTTATTGTACTGGAATATTGTAAAATGAAACTAGGAGGGAAAAAATATGAAATTGGAGACTTGAGTTTCTATTCATACTAAATACATACTAAATGCTTCTTTATAAACTACAAACACCTGTGCTTTAAATATACCTGATAGTACCTGAAGCAACTGGAGACTTGAGGGCAAAATTGTATCTTTTCACTTCAACTAAGAAAAAATAGATAGCTGGTTGTTCTGGATGGGTTCTCTCATATAGTTGGGGTTTCAGATGGAAAATCTTTTGTTTCAAATTTTTGGAAAGCTTAAAGATACAGGTATATTTTCCTACCTTGATATATTCTATATAACATCTCAAAAGTTTGACAGTACAAATATGACTTAAAGATGTTTTGATGATTGACATTTGTGAAGTCTTAGGGAGTCCTGTTTTGAAGGGCATTTCTCAATATAGACTACATTAACTGAGAAAATATGTTATAATAGTGCTATTGGGCTCAATGATATCCTAGTTCCAGAACTCACTTATAAGAAACTCTTGGAATACAAAAACAACATAAGAATACAAACCTCCCTTAACTAGATTATGAATATCATACCTCAGAAATTTTTAAAAATAAAATTTAAAGTATTTAACAAGTCAGATGGCAAGACATCCACCAGTTGGAATGGTGGCTCATAATCTGAATCTACAATGGCTGGAAACAACCAATAAGCATGTATGGGGTCTAGGGAGTACTGATGTACATCCCTGGATTTGCTGTTTTAATAAAGTAAATAGGATAGTTTTAAATGCTTCAAATTAGCAAATCACTACTACTTGCAAGTTGGTGGAATAAAGTACATATAAATTTAAGGAAAACTCACCTTTACAGTTTGACCAAAATATAGAATTGAATGGACACCCAGCAAATGGAAAACAAAATTTTTTGCAAACCTTTTCTTCATTGCACCAAATACACTGTATTTAGAAAGAAAATAATAATAATCAAAGCAGTGTCCACATATTATAATCCAATCACAGTAAGTATTCAATAAATAACAGCCATCATCATCGTCATGATTTATTATTTGTAGTACATGTTATTGGTGGCCTTCCCATGTCTTCTTTACCAGGCCCAAGCACTCAAACCTCAGCTGCAATAAATTTTGTCTGTGATTGACTCACAAATTTCCCTGCTCTTGATTGACTCCCCTTGGTAGATGAGGATCACCTTGCTCTTGAGATTATCCTCACCCTGGACCAGTAACTGACTGGTATGGAGTTCAAAACCATAAGCATCCTTGCCTAAGTCAGGGACAATTCTGCTATGTGATTTTTTTTAAGTTGTAAATGGACACAATATCCTTATTTATTTATTTTTATGTGGTGTTGAGGATTGAACCCAGTGCCTCACACCTGAGGGGCAGGTGCTCTACCACTGAGCTATAGCCCCAGCCCCTGATTTTTTTTTTCTTTTTCCTCAAAAGCTGTCCATGATTCAGGGCAAATGTGGGCTTTAGCTGAGACCCTATCTTTTCTTGGCTCTCATCCCTTGTTTTCCTGAATCCTTCATATCTTCATGGGATTTTGCTAATGAACAGCCACTGAAAAATTGCATGGATCTGGATCCCTTTCTCAGACTCTGCATTTAAACCCAAGATACTACGTCACAAAGCAGTAATAAGGGCTGCATTAGATAGTTTTTAAAAATGTCTCCAATACTCTCCTATTCCCCTTGTCTGCAGAAACCACTCTTTCCTCTGGGGAATCTTTCTCTGTTACCATGGCCCTGGTGGTGTTATCAATTAGGCTTATCTCACCTCCCTCTGCCTTCTGCTCATTGGTGGTCAAGTAATCATGTGTAAATAAGAAAGCTGAAGTCCCTTGCTGAAGTAAATGAAAAAAAGGCACAATGGTGAAAACTATTATTAGAAACTATTATAAGAAACAGTTGAAAAAAAAGAAAAAAAAGGACAGAGTGGTAAAAATGGCTGTCACATAGGAACTACCATGTGACAGGTATTGTTCTGTCTTTCACGCATTCTCACTCCATCCTTTTGAAAACTTTGTGTGCTAGATACCATTATGTCCACTTTATAAATGAGGACAATAAGGCACACAGCAACTACATGACTTATACAATATGGTCACAGGGCTAGTAAATAGGAGAGTTTGTATTGGAAGCTAAGCAGCCTGGCTCTGTGCTGGTAACCAATTCTGTAAGAGTGGTTCCAAGTCCCTTCCAATCACCTCTTGCTATACATCCTAAAACCAGGAAAGGTAATGATTCACCCAATGTAAAGAACTACCCCAGACACACTGCTTGAGAACAAGAGATGGCTAAAGTTTTTTTTTTTTTTTTCATGTTGGTCAAGATCAAAGGTCAAGTCATTTAAGCAAATCTTGGATGGAAGCCACTAAGGCTGAATGGGTCCTGTATTCTTAGACCATTGCTTAAAGACTGAAACTGCAAAGATAAGACCTAGATTCAAGGACTATCCATTTTTTTATTTTTTAGTTGTAGTTGGACACAATATCTTTATTTTATTCATATATTTTTATGCGGTGCTGAGGATCGAACCCAGGGTCTCGCATATGAAAGGCGAGTGCTCTACCACTGAGCCACAACCCCAGCCCTCAAGGACTATCTTATAGAGAGACTTCTAGTCTTGGTTGTTAGTTCTCAGAGTTTTGAAAAATCAAGCCCATTCCATCTAGCAGAGTTTTAAGGAAGATAAATTTCCAGAATAAACTTGAACCCAGCAGAGAGGAATATGTGGTAACTCAATTGCTGAGCTGATTCCCAGGCTCCAGTAACCTAGTCTACAGCAGGGAAGCTCTGATAGCGGCACAGTGCTCAGAGAAGGCTTTCTTTCCTATACTTCTCTCTACTGGGTCCCTGAGAACACTGGAAAAGGAAAAGGGAGCTGTTTCAATAGACCAAGCGTGGGGCAGACTGACTGGTGACCAACCAACTCACTTCTCAGCCAGGGAAACTCAACAGAGTATATTATAGACTCAAAATGATACAGGACCACTGACTACTATGGTGTCTTCTAAATGAGAGGTTTTACTGTTGTTATCCTGCTTTCTCTTTTCTATTGAATATTGGGTCTTTGGGAGTTGATTTAACTGATTCTGACTCAAAGGAACAAAGCCTAAGGAGCCATATTCAAGCATAATTCAAGAGTAACACATCTCTCTGAGATTCCAGACTTAGACCTTGACAGTGACTTGAGGTCAGTCCAATTTTAGTTGAGACTTAGTGGCATTAATTTTCTAGGAGCACTTTTCAAAATATGGAAATGAAGAAAATAAAATACTCATACTCTGACCGGGAAAAGGGTGAAATACCATAGATTGAAGTAGTTTTATTCCTTTTCTTTTAAAATATTCTCTGTTTTGCATTCCTATTCTCCTTTTTCTGATAATCATACCCTTATCCTTTGTGAAACTCTTTCCCTAATTCTGTATGATCCTGCAGCTAGCTGTCAGTCATCTTTGCCTTACCCATTTCCTACTATTAGAGTGGTCATTTGACCAGGGCACTCAAGAGTAGCATAGACTTTGGCCCAGTAGCTAGTGCTGGACTGAACATAGGTCCAAATATGGCCAATTATATTCTTCTTCAGAGTTATATACAGACATTGGGAGATATTTGCTGGCAGCCAGCCTCTTCTACAGCTGTATGGAGAATGTCCATTTACTGTGGGAGAAAATGAGGTCAATACACAGGAGAGAGGAAAGGAAAGAGAAATGCAAATAATATCCTTTGAGATTCAACTGAACATGAAATAAGGCTACCCAATTTTTTGGGCCAGTGAATTCCCCTTTTGATTAAATTAGTTTGCATTGGCTTCTCCCACTTACCACAACAAAAATGTGATACCTTAACTATCTTGACTAAGTCTAAAATGTCCTCAAAAATGACAACTTCATACTCATTGTCCAGAGGAAAATTATAACATATTCAACATCCTGAGACTGGTAATGTATAATTTAGGACAAATTACAAGGATCTTTCTCTTGTAGGTAAGGAAGAAGACCTATATGAGTTCTTACCAACCTCCCATCTCTTATTAGTGTAACAACTGAGAAGCCAGCTGAAAGGCTTTAGGGTAATTATTATAATTGCCCTTTAGGAAAATTAGAGTACCCAATTTAGGGTATAAGCCTGTTTTAGTAAGCTTATATGGACATTGAAATCTCTATTTTATGAAGAAATATCACTGAAATTAAAAAATTGCAAAAGGGGAAGGTACACAATTATGTTTAGTAGTTTGTTAACATTGTATAAAATGGCTTAATATTATATTGGCAAAGAAATAGAAAATGAGTATTATTATGCAAAGGGGGATTTGAAAACAGTGGACACTGAACACAAAAAAGAGCATTTACAGGATATATATTGGCAAATGTTAGATGCAGAAGAGATTACAGGTGTACAAAGCACTGTTTTTGTTTTCTGGAGGGTCAATTTAATGGGTGGGTAAAATATGTACACTTTACAAAATTACATACAATTCTAAGTGGAAGAATATTCTCTCAAAGTGTTGGAACATGTACAAAATGTAATAGGAATTAAGAGGAGAGCTCACTTTTAGCTGGAGTGACTACACAGGTTTCTTTCAAAGAATAAGGAGAGGTTGGCCTAAGTTTTGAGGAGTGGGTCAAATGTGTACAGAAAAGGAGGGACTTGAATACAGAAGATATGACAGCATGAAAATCTTGCCACATGGCAAGAGGGAAAGTCTGCTATGGTGGAGTTGTATAGAATAATTTGGAAGGATCATCTTCTCTTGGATTGTGATGGGTCCTGAATGTTAGAATAAGGAGCATTTCATCTTAATAACTGAATTATTTGCAGCTAAAGGTGAACATGAAAGAGTGTTAAATGACAACAATAAACCAAAAGGGCCTGGAGGGATAAGCAGTAGTGGGATAGGGGTGTGGGAAGTCCAGCAATCAGCTGAAAGAAAAGAATGGACCATAGATTCTTTAAAGAAGACAAAGGAGCTAGAGATTTCTAAAATTATTATATGGGTATGGAGAATGGTACCAGTAATAAATATGGGAAATGAGCATATTTGTGGGAGACAAAATCATAAATCTAGCTTTAGATACCTTGAGCTTGAGGTGATAAAAGAAATTATCCAAGAATAATTGTTGATCAAGCAATGTAATCATGACTACCAGGAGCTGTTAGATCTAAGAACATGAATTTGGGGTTTCTTGATACTTACATAATCATGGAAGCCATGACCAGTTGGGATAGCACAGGGATGAGGACACAGTACTAGGATGTGCTCTCAGGTAGAAATATAAATAAGAAGGGTTGGCAAGGGTAGTTGCATAAAGTGAAGATCACCAGGGAAGGAGCAAGTTTCCAGAATGATGAGTGCCTAACTAGAAAGATTAGGGTTTTAGAGAGTTTTTTGGTAACCTTTAAAACAGTTTGTTAAATATTCAGTCACACTGCATGACAAGCAGTGGTAGAATAAATACTATAGCTATTAAAAAAAAAAGTGGTTTTTTTTAATGTGTGTGTGTCCCCCCCCCACCACCACCACCACCACCACATTTTGTCAGAACTCAGAAAGAAAGACATTGCAGAGACTGGATTTAGACTGGATTTGTCAGAGAGGCAACAAGAAAATGAGAAAGGCTTTGAGTTTGTGAATGTGCATGTTTCTGAGTGGAATGCTTGCATGAGGCAAAGACTAAGAGGTTAGCCTTGGGAATGAAAATAGGTTTCTTAAAGGGAAAGAGTAAGAGAAAAGACATTGAGTTGGTGAAAATAATAATAATAATAATAATAATAATAGAACCTGAGCCTGACAAATGGCCTTAACATTCTCAAGGAAAATCAAACTTCAGAAGAAGTGTCGTACCAAGATTAAGGAAAGGTGTTGAAGGTGTTGGGAATAGTGCCATGGAAAATAATCCTTGAGACTGGTTCCCACCCCATCCACCTAGGGACTTTTGACAGGTGATACCCACATACACACTGGCATATCCAGATTTGGATCCATAGCCCTATTCACCTTCCCCTACCCCATGTCCTAACTATCACAAGCATCTGTGCCTATGTACACATACTTTTAAAGAAAAATAGATAACAAAATGGGTATCGTTGTTGGGTAGGAGTTGTGGCATTTATATTTTACAAACATGGTCATTTTATTTGAACTATTAAATAGATAAGGTAGACTGTGGGAGATTCACAAGTCCATTAGGTTTGTTGTAACTTCACACCTTTCTGTCCTAATAATCCATATCAGGATGCAATAAGTAGAAAGATTTGATTATGAAGAAAGCCTAGGATCTACTCTTATTTTTAAAGTCAGTTGCAAAACTCAGTCATATAACTCTCATTAGCAAAAAATAAAAATTATTTATGACAGTCTCACCATTGTAACATCACAATTAATAACTATTTAAAGGATTTCACAGTGATGCATAACAACTCTAAATAGCAATGAGGATCCAAGTAAAGCAGTGTTTAGCCTGTTTTAGTCAGTATGGCTTTAGAAATTTTATTAATAATGGAGGAGAATATATCAACAAAAATTTTCTTTTCACGTGGTGTATTTATGACTAATGTGTTGTGAGGTAGGGTTATGAATGAGTTGCTTTTTTGTGGATTTGGTTTTGGTAAGAATATATTCTAACTCTTAAGAAGGTCTGCCTACACTTTTTAATTTCAAGGAAAAGTTTTAGATTGGATCCAGTTAATATTCTCTTACAGCTAAGAAAGATAAGCATATAATTTATCATTCTAAGTAGAATACTTTGGGAAACTAGCAGTGGGTATAAATAATTTCTCTGGGTCAATGAAGCAAAGGACATAAAGTAGGACAGTCCCAGACATATCACAACATCTGTTCATCCTTTTTTTAGTCCAAGAAGAACTCAAGTATTCTTGGTTGCTTCATGAATTACCATCTATAAATCCTGGCACTCTCTGGGAGTATGGGAGGTGGCAAGAGCTGTCAGTGAAAGCCTGTGTCCTTCCAAATTGGGGGAGGACAGGGAATCTTTTTCAAAAGATGATACCCTAATTCTATGTTGACTATGGGAATTATCCTTCAGTTAATTTCTATGAGGTACTGGTAATATTTTAAAAACTACATTCAAATACATATATCCCCAGAATTGCCATATAGACACTTACGTTTAGAAAAGTTTTAGGATAAAATTATCGACCTTTTTCCATTATACAGTGTACTAAATGTAATTTAACTTCTTCTAATGGCTTGAGTTAATTCAGTAGTTACTGAATGCTTGCAGGTGCTAGGAAATATGTGAAGTGTTACAGATGCAAAGATGACTAAAACATAGACAGTCCAGGGAACTGAGAACAGAGGGAAAGTGAGAACAAAAACAATTTATATGATACAAGTTACAATTTAAAAATGTATGTAAGTTCAAAAGAGAGGTGTAGGGGAACAGAAGGAGTAATCTTCTAAGAGGAATGGTAAGGGTGGGTAAAAAAATGACAGTAAATGTATTGATTTGGGGAGTGAAGTTTATACCTAAAGTCTCTATTTTTATGTAGATTAATGGGGTGTGGGATAAGATTGGACCTTTAAAGATGGTCACAAAGTTTTGAAATTACTGCTATGGGGAATTTTAGGAAACGCTGCCAACCAAAGGCAAGTACTGAGTAGCATTTGGGCTCAGGTGAACCCAGAAATTGTGAATTTGTAATGGTACTAATGCAGATTCTCATGATATATGCTTGAGCAGCAATCAGCTAACAAAAATGCACAGTAAATGAATACATAGACTGAAGGACCCATCAGAGCTGGGAAATATAGATCCAGCACAGTTAAAAATAAGAGGGCAAGGCTATTAAAGTAGTATTTGTTGCTGCAACCCCCAAGAATAAAATGGATCCAGGCAAGAATCATTTTTGGCTGCTTGCATCATCAAATGCTAAACAACAGTCCTCATTCACCATTCAATAAAAGTTTTCAATGTGAAATATTCCTGCCAAAAAATTAAACTGAACTTTATTAATCCTCTATATCTAATTACCAGTTTATAAGAACAGAACAGCTGAGAACACCTGTAATCCCAGCTATTCAGGAGGCTGAGGTAGGAAGATCACAAGTTCAAGGCCAGCCTGCACAACTTAAGGAGATCCTGTCTCAAAATAAAACTAAAAAGAGCCAGGGGCATAGTTTAGTGGTAGACAGTTTGCCTAGCATATGCAAGGCCCTGGATTTAATCCTTAGTACCAAGAAAAAAAATCAGGAAAAAGAGGAACCTGGATGTGATCAGCAAAACCCAGACTGTAGGAAACCCAATGGGACAAACAATTCAGCTTCTTCTTTATTACAATTAAGTTGTAATAAAGAAAAAAAAAGAGGGAAAAGAATAAATAGTTTAAAAGAAACTTAAGTTATATAGCAGTCAGTTTCAGCATATATATCTGAACTAAACAAAAACATGAAACAAGGCTAATTGGTTATTTCCTGGGAACTTGATGATATTAAGAAGTCACTGTTAATTTCTAGGTGTGATCATGGACTTGTAATATTTTAAAGTAAAGACCTTATGTATTAGACATACATACCTATATATTTACAAATAAATTATATGGTATCTACATCATTATTTAGTTCAAAATAATCAATTGTGAGAGGGAGGGCATAGATGAAACAAGGTTGACTGAGATAATTCTTGGAGGTATAGGATGTATAAAATTTTATTATACTATTCTCTCTCTCATACACACACACACACACACACGTGTGTGTGTATACATATATATATGTATGTGTGTATATATATATGTACACTTTTTGTTAGGTTTTTGTTTTGGCACTGGGGATTGAACCCAGGGACCCAGGAGCACTTAACCACTGAACCCATCTTCAGTCCTTTTTAAATAATTTATTTAGGGACAGGGTCTCACTAAGTTGTTTAGGGCCTTGCTAACTTGCTGAGGCTGGCTTTGAACTCATGATCCTCTTGCCTCAGCCTCCCAAGCCGCTGGGATTATAGGAGTGCACCATCATGCCAGGTTATTGTTGTTTTTGAGACGGGGTCTTGCTATGTTACTAGGCTGGCCTTGAACTCCTGGGCTCAAGTGATCCGCCTGCCACAGCCTCCCAAGTAGTTGGGACTATAGTCACACACCATAGTGCCTAGCTCTGTTTTCTCTATTTTTATACATGAACATTTCCAGTGTAAAATATTTAGCAATGAAAAAGCAGGAGAATACTCATCCAGGTGAACAGCCATGAAAATTCACAAGGAAGGAAGGAAGGAAGTCCATTAAGAAAGAGTCAATAACCTTGAAGGAAAAAGGAGAGGGTGAAAGGACTGAAAAGTACTCTTTCTTGTTAAGTCCAAAGAGTAGGTACCATGTTGGGAAATGGGAAAGTGATGTTCAGTGTAAATTGTGCAGGGTTCAGAGTATGTGGTGGAAGTGATATCCTATAGTGATATCCTATGCATGGTGTTGAGAAGGTGAAGACACTGAGATAGAGTGTTTCTAGCTTTTTCTGGCTTCAGAAAGTTTCCAAGGCCGAGAATAAACTGGACCAAGAATTCCATGAGCCAGAAGAAGCTCTAGTCCTCATTAAAGCAGAAGAGTGACCTGGAGGAAGATAAGAGGCACATCGTGGTATGTGCAGATCACCATGACAGATACCAATTACTAGAATGTCCTCTTTGCTAATTAGAGTTTTTTCTTCTGTCTTTGGTGTTAATAGTCAATTCTCCAATATAGATTAGACTAGAATGGTTTTGTAAGGGTTGCTGCAAAGCTCTCTGTGGCACAAGTAATACCATTTCCCCCATTGCCTCTGGTATTTCTAATTTCTTCCAAATCTGAAGTGAAGAATAAAGATGTCAGACATTTAATCATCAGAGAAGAGGACCTTAGCTACACTTAGGAACTGTGTGTCACACTCTATTATTTAGGGATTAGAATTGGCAAGGAAATATTCACTGAATCTCAAAAGACATATTTTCTTTTCTTCCAAAACTTCTTCCAAAATTTCAGTGTGATTTTCTTTTTCAAGCCAAGAATTGTTTTCTTTCTAAAATATAATATTCTAGAAGAAAGTACATATTCCATCTAAATTATTTCCATTATTTATTTCTAGACTCTCAAAGCATGATTTGAAATGGAGAAATAGATTTTAGTAACTGTTATTAGTTATTCCTTTATAAAAAAGTGTATAAAACAACATTTAGCATAGCTTTTTGATGACAATTATAAATGTGTGAATTTATAACATTCCCAAGACAATTGCCTCATAAGAAAGTTAACTTACTTTCTTATCTTCTGTGCACAACTGACAACTATTCTTTTGAGTACATGCTACAAGAAAAAAAAATTAAGTACAAAAATGTAAATCAAAAGCCTATTTATTGCTCAACTTTATAAAAAAGTGCATTTCATTTAGTCATTCCTCTTTCAAGCCATATTCATCCATATGAAAACATTTTACTTCGTTATTTTCACATAGCCAGATACTTTTCCCACCAGCACTGTTTAAATCCTGTAATTTCCTCCTGCTACTCAAAAAAACAAGAAATGGCATCATCCCACATCCATTAGCCAAGTTCTAAAAAACAACTTCCCCCCAAAAATATGAAAAAACAAATTGGAACATCATTGTATATTTACAACATCATACTTCAGAAACCTCTTTTAAGTAACTCTTTTGTTATTCAGCATAATTTTGCCAACACATTCCTGGTTAACTAATTAGTCTCTTAACTATTGAAAAAGTATAATTCTCCATACTCTTTGGCCCAAAGTTTTAAAAAGTTACCCCAAATAAAGATTTTTATTCTTATGGAAAAAATAGACAACTTGCAACTCTCCTGCCTCGGCCTCCTAGGAACCAAGGATTACAAGTGTGTACCACTGTACCAGGCAGATCATATATATCTTTTGCTTGCTTTCTAGGCCAAGAATTTACATTCATTGCTAATAATGGGTAGTTGCCTCTGCTGTTTCTACTGTCTGCTGCTTAAGACAATTGAAAGTGGAGGGGCAATCAGCAGTAGTGCTCCAAGATTACTTGACAAGTTGCTCTACATATTCCCTAAGGTTCTTTGTATTTACAGCTGCTGGCCTTGTAAGGACTTTAATCCTCTCCTATTTGTGATTTTTTTTTTTCCATCGGTCTGGTCTCAATTGCTTTTTGTTTTTCAGGGATTCTTATTGCCCTCATCTTTTTCCCCCCAAAACTAGACACGCACTTACATGCACCAGTTTTGTGAATGCATAATATGTATGAACTCATTTGAGCCTCACAGTGACAACTTGAGGATGACACTATTCTCATTTTACTGATAACAAAACTGCCATGGTATATATGGGCCTAGCAAATGACGAAGCTGGGCCGTGAGTCCAGGCATTAAGAGCCTCTGTCCTTTCATCTCTGCCATTGGTCTGCCTTTCAGAATGAAATAGGAATTGTCAAAGAGGCACAGCTAAATATAGAATCAACTATTCACTCAGACTGGGTAGATCAAGGAAGGCATCATGGAAGAGGTAGAATTTGATCCAGGCCTTTCAATACCAGAATTGTTTTTTTATCATATTTCTGCATAAGGCCCAAATTCTATTTCTGCTAGGGGCAGAAATACTTAAACCTGAAAATTCAACTTCAGTCACTAAACTAAGCCACTTTTTAGTAAATATTTACCTAAACTCAAGGCTTGATGGGAAATGCTACAAAGTCTTGTCTGTTACCTGTCACTCAGAGCACAAGTAGCAGTGTAGGTGAGGATTTCAGTGAGGGTTTCTAGGTGTTGGAAATGAAAAGTATGATGTCTAAGAATCCAGATCCTTGTTAAATGGGAAAGTTAAGTGCAAGCACAATGGGGAACCTGCCTGAGGCTAGGAGGCAAACTCTCTGGGAGCTCCTGACTTGCTGACTCAAGCTGTTTCCTCAGAAGCAAGGACCAGGGTTGGTCAGCCCTACAGCTGAGCTAGCTAGAATCAGAAACTTTCATCTCTGGAGACCAGACTGTTATCTGTGATTTTTAAATTCGTTTTGTCTGTTTACTTTTTTTGTTGTTGTTGTTCTTCTTCAGCATTTTAATAAAGTCTTTTGAAAAATTCCACTGTATGTATGACTCCTTTTGCTAGGCAACCAAGGAAAAGATTTGTTTCTACCCTTTGGTTTAGGCTCCTAGGTGATGTTTATAAGAAGGGGCCAGAGTGACACTGGAACACAGTTTAGGATTGTGTTTAGAAGTGATCAAGAGCATAAAAAAATCTATGGAGAAAATGAGACACAGGAAGCAAGATAGTTTCTTTGATTCAGTCTTTGCCCATCCCCTCTCCCTCCCCCTCAAAGGAGATTCTTATTTCAGTACAAAGCTGAGAGCTGTGGGTTGGGTTTTAATAAGGAAGACTGATTTGCTTACACATAGCTAGCATTCTTTTATACTCTGGAAATGAGACAGCAGTAATTATTCTGTCTTCCTAAAAATGGCAATCTTGGCTTTATAGGGCCAAGATTTTCTGAGTAATTCTCTCTCTCTATTCTATCTATACAATTCCAATTTAAGATATTATAAACCTTATTTTGAGGTCCATGAATTCAACTCAGCATGACTTTTAACATTTCAAAATTTCTTCAGTTGGGAAGGAAAACAAAGGAAAGCTTTCAAAGCGAAATAATTAGTTCTTAAGAGGGGGAAAAGACAACAAATTAAGCAATTTATTAGCTAAGAACTTAGAACATTAAGGAAAAGGAGCCATTATGGTCATTGAATGTGGTCTTTTTAGAATAAATTTCAGCAGCTTATTCAGAGCATAAAGTTTATGTGATATATGTAGGTCATGCCAAAAGAAGGAGAAAAACATCCCTTTCCCAAATTTAAACCTGTTTTAATCCACAAAACAAATCGAGTACAATTTAATAGGGTTTTCTCCCAAAAATGTCTAGCCTTTAAAAGTGACTTTGCCCAAATATCAAATGGAAATTTTTAAAAAGATTATTTTTTTTTAAGTTGTAGATGGGCACAAAACCTTTATTTTACTTATTTACTTCTATGTGGTGCTGAGGATCGAACCAGTGCCTCACACGCGCTAGGCAATCATTCCACCACTGAGCCACAACCCCAGCCCCCACGTGGAAGTTTTCCTGAGATGGACATTTTAGTGAGCTAGGACAGCTCAGTCCCGGAAAGACTGCCTCAGGTCCGGTGCACTCACCTTCTTCAATCGAAGACTTTCGTTTCTGTTTCTCCTCCTTTCTTTTTCTGTACATTTGGGAAAAACCATTATCTGAGAAGCTGATAAGCAGTTGGACTAGAAAGAGGGAAAGTAAAACCGGCAGGAAGATCTGGCCCCATGTCCTCGGCCAGCACATGGCTCCTCAGGCCTGGCGACTCTAGCCAGTGGGAGTGTAGCCGTCCCTGGGTGAGGGTTTGCACAGGCGGACTCTGCTCAGGGATTGTGACCCATCACTGCCCGGGATCCTGACACCTCCCCATCCCAGCCTGGACCTCAGCATAATTAGCAGAATCTTAGAACCCCTAATAGTTTGGCCAGAATGCCGAATGTTGGTAATGTAATCCTCGTGGGCATTCGGCTAGGGCTTCCAGGCCCCTGGACCCCCGTACAGTGCATCCCCTGGGTTTGATCTAGGTCTGTTTACCTACAAAGTCCACATCTTTTTCAGAAGTTGTTATTTTTTGACAAAGGCCTTGATTCTAATTCCACTACCCACAGCGTGTGAAGCAGTTGCGCCTTTCTGGTGGCCTTTCCTCTGATGTAAATGAACCCACCACCCACGCCCACCTCATGGGGGTGAGATGTAGTGCTGGTGTGAAACTTGCAGTTCTGAAAACCCTCCATCTTGTCCCTAACTAGTTTGGTGACCCTCTTGATGTACTCTAATGGGTTTCCCAATCAGTGTACAGTGTGTATTAGGTGCTACGCAGATGAATATCTTTTTCCACAGCTTTGTAATCATTTTAATATAACTAGTATTACAATGATATAATGGAAGCAATGCGAACTTCCTTTTAAAATAAATCTATATAAAAAAATCAAATGTCAGAAATACAAATAACAGTACATAGTTTAAGGATATGGCAAGAATTGGAAAGGAGGTTCCAAAATGGCTGAAATTTGAGCAATAGTAGTCCAGCAGGAGTGTGGAGGGGTGGCTGATAGAACTTTGTCCTTGACCACTGCTTATTTTTTTTCCATTTTTCAAAAATGAACAGTGAGCTGGGGGTCGTGGTGCTTACCTGTAATGTCAGCCACATGGGAGAGTAAGGCAAGAGGATGGCAAGCTACAGGCCAGCCTGGGCAACTGAGACCCCCTCTCAAACTAAAAGATAAAGAGGGCTGGGGATGTTGCTCAGTGGCAGAGTGCCCCTAAATTCAATCCCCAGTACTGAAAACTAAAATAAAGAATGATAGAGTTGTCCCACACATTCCTGGCATATTGATCTATTAATTTGGGGGCAATTGGATCAAATATTGACAATAAATATGGAGAAAGTAAAGAAATGCATAGAGTTCAACTATTTGTCCCTTGCCTATTTGTAATGCAGAGAACAGATAGAGGACTATTAGCTACAATATGAAAAGTACTCTTATAAACTGACAAGAACAACAACAACAAAAAGAAAATAGGAAAATGCACAAGGGATTTAAAGAGGCCTTCTGCAGGAAAGCAAAACCAAATCAGGAATAAATAATGCAAAAAAAAAATTAAACACCAGTACTAGGAAATTATAAATTGAGTAACGGTGAACAATCCATTTGCATCCACCAGATAGACAAACATTTAAAAATGCTAACACATATTGCTGGTGAAGATGTGGGAGGGAAAGGATCATGATAGCCCTTGGTAAAACTATGAATTGCTACAGTGTCTTTGCAAAGTAACCTGGTAGCAAATTAAAATTAAAACAAAAAACAAAAAAAAAAAAAAAAACACCTGTATTCTGTATAGGGAATGTACTTATTAGGGAAATTTGTCTCTCACTACTCCTCAGTTCTCATGGTACGAGTGGGCTACAACTTCTTCCTTGGAAGTAGAGCATGAAAATTAACCTGAATAAACAGGGCTTAGAATTTTCCCAGCACCATGATGATTCAAGGATGGGCACATGACATAAACAGTCCAATTCAAGACAATCTCAGGGATTTTGCCAGGACTGCTGGGACAAAGAAACCGTCTTCCCCTGGGTTCAAACTTGGAAGAATTCAGTCTCCATAGCTGTTAAAAGCCATCTTGATATTATGGGATAATGGCCGTGAAAATGTCCATATCAAAACATAAGTGACTCACAACCTCAGCTGCTGTTCTTCAGATTTCTCCACTAAATTCATGCCAAGGCCATGCTTCCTATAAGCTGCTGTCAGTCAAGACTAAAAATGACAGGGATACTAATGTAAAATGCCTTCAATGGGATATTTTGGTGTGAGGACTCCCATCAATCTGTTTGAAACTTTCTTGGAACTGTTCTGTACCCTGAAACTACCAAGTCAATCTTATTTCTTCTGTCTTTCATATGTGTCAGACCTGCATTGCTGTTTGAAGTTTCTCTTCACCGTCACTAGTTCCCTCCCCTTTATCTTTTCCAACTGTTTCCTCAAGAAATAAACTTCTAATTCCATTTTAGCAGATGATTCTTAAAGGACCCAAACACAAATACTGATGGAAACATTCTGAAAAAACTAGGCAATCATTTACCCACACATAATTAACTTTTTTTCCATTGCCTCAGTCTATTGTGGACTAATTGGTCATTGATTAGTATGCTAAGGGTACCAGAAGAAATATCACTACAAACATGGTATTCAACAATGGAGATTTATTTTTCATAGTTTTAGAAACTAGAAATCCAAGATCAAGGTTCTAGCAATGCTGATTTCTCCTGAGGCTTCTCTCCTTGAATTGTAGATAGCCCTTCTGTGTCCTCACATGGCTTTTCCTCTATGCACACCCACTCTTGGTTTCTCCTTTTATTCCTATAAGGACACCAGTCCCCTTAGAATAGGGTCCCATTCTTAAGTCCTGTGTAATCTTAATTAGCTCTATAAAGGCCATATATCCAATTACAGTCATATTGGGGGTTGGGGCTTCAACATATGCATTTGGCAGGGGACACAATTCAGTCCACAACAGGAACAATACTTTTCTGTCATCATTTGATTTACTCTTTGTCCTTCAGAGTAGCTACTGTGAAAAAAAAAAAAAAAAATCATTCACCTGAAATCTGTTTTTTCCCCCCCGTGTTTTTTTTTTTCAAGTAATCTCTGTTTTTGCCTTAGTCATAAGCAAATGAATACCTATTATAACGATTTTCAACACTTTCACTGATTTGGCATTTATCAGGTATAGATAAGAGTTGGTATTTGTTTAAAAGAGAAAGAAGTAGCCAACAGACTCAAGGAAAGAACAATTTGCTGTAAATGTCTGAGCATGTCTACCGATGCCCTCTGTTGGTAGCAACAGAAATGGCCTGTTTTAGTCCAGCTTTGTTCTCCTCTATGTGTATGTTCAAAATGGGAAAGTACAGTGACCTCCATATCACCCTCTTGGACATTCTGTGTTTGTGTCAGTCTGACCATACAGGAGGGTTAACTGAAGAAAATTCAATGAAGGGATGAAACACACTTGTAGGTATGGCAGGAGTAATAAGAACAAAGGATGGCAAAGCACCAGGCACTAACAAGAAAGGGGGGTTCTTCTCAGCCCTGGAACTGGAGGACAAAGTTAAGAGTGGAGAGGTGAAATTGAGAGACAACCTAAGGATTGCCCAGCAGGAACCGTGGTTACAAGGTAGAGGAAGTAAGTGGCTAAGAGAGTAGGGGTAACTACTATGACCTCTCTTCTCCTGCTATCTGTCCTCCCAAAGCCAGAGGGCAAAGAATCTCAGGTAATATGATCTGCAAAGGGCAGGGTGGGGCAGATGTAGAAAGAAAATAGGAGTAGAGGATTAATGTGACGATCCAGCATACTTTCCCCTCACAAAAGGAATTGCCCTCTGTCTCTTCTCTTCCTTGAATTTTCTTGTCCTCTTTTCTCCTTCCTTCTCTCCCCACTCTGGCAGCCCTCCTCACACATACTCACATACACATACACACGATCATTCTGGATTATGGCTACTTATTTTATATACTGACTTCTTAAATGCCTCATCCATGCGTAGTAAATATTCCTGCACCCATCATAGGAGGAACACATTTAAAAAAAAAAAACACTTGAAATAAATAAATGAGTGCATGCTCATTATCTATCTTCATGACTTAAAATCTTCCTGGGGGGAGAAAAGCCAAATGAAACTTATGTCATGTATTCTACCTGGAATTCAATACAATGAATCCCAATCCTGAGTACAATAAATGCTTCAATAAAGCAAATGGGATAATTTTTCATGATTCCTGGCTATAAATTTATGTGAGAAAAAAATTCAAATAACAGATTCTAAAAGAACTTCCACACAGTTTGATTTTTATAAATAAAATGTGAAGTGTATTTTAAAATAAGACTAGCTTACTTCGTGTCTGACTTAAAGTCCACACAAGACTTTAAATGGAAGTGAAGAATCAAGTTTATCTCTAAAAATGACATTAAAGTCAACACTGAAAATGCTCAAATATAGGCTCTCAGTTGAATTTTTAAATAAACAGTCTGTTGAAAGTAAGCAGATTTAAAAAAAAAAAAACTCCAGGTTAATTAGCCAGTACTATTATAGCCAGGGTCAATATCCCCACCTCCCAGACACACACAGAAATTGTTTATGGTGATTGCAGTATATTCCTTTGTTCCAACCATTGTAAGTGTTGATCACTGAACCATGGAAGTTGTCTAATATGACAATTAAGACAAACAGACACGTGAACTCATTATTGGCTTTCTAATTACTGCAGTTGGCTTAATGACAGGGTTGCATTAAGTAGTACTATCAGTGTCTAAATCTTAAAGCAGATAGCTCTTCAAATGTCGTATTTCCTTATATATTCCCAATGAAGTGGGGGAGAGGAACAGCGTAATGGAGATTGTTGGCATTTTGTTGCCATAAAAAAAGGAATATTTATAATCTATTAGATATTTTGAAGGCACATATAACATGAAAGGACACTGCAATGGAAAACATACATTCTGGTTGGCTATTGTTACATTAAGTGCATTGTTCAGCAAATGTTCCGCTATATTGAGTTTCAGGCATCAGTTGAATTACATTATGGTGAGATTTGTGATTAAGGTATGCTAACTCAAAATGACAAGCCAAGAGCTTTTAAAACCCACATTTCAATGAAATCTGGCAGCACAAAAACAGCTGCTCTAAGTCTGCTCCTCTAATATTTCAAAGGAAGAATAGCACTGGGTTTCTGATACCATATGTGCCAACTGCAGAAATTCTAGAACAGCCTGGGAGACCCTGGGTGAAAGGTCACACTCTGTCTTATACAGATGGCATATTTAATTATTAAAGAGCAATTTTAATCATTTAATCATTTCAGATCTTGAAATAAAAGGTCATCTTTGGGTATCTCAAAGTTTGTTATAACCTAAACGTGGCTGTCAAACTTATTTGGAGCCAGTAGGTAGCATATGTGATTTCATATTCTCACTTGATTTACATTCTCATGTGAGTTGAATTTGTTTTTCAGGCTCTAAAAGACATTTCATGGAAAAGATTTGAAGGTCATGTCTTTGGCAGAGAATTTTAAATTAAATCCAAATCTTTACTTCAGACTTAAATCAAGCTCAAATTCCTCAGGAGGATGGCTGAACGGCCCCTTCTTTCAGCAGAATTGTTTGTAGTTCTGCTAGAAAATTTTGCATCTAGTTTCAAAAATATTTTCAGAAATAGACTCGTTAGTTTTTGCTATTACAAACAATAAATAACACCAGCAAAGTGTCTGAGGTATAATGTTCAATAAATGCTGGGTCTTCTTCTCATTCTCACATCTTCTCATCAGATGCATGTATCCACATATTTGCATGCATACATTGGAATTCACTTTGATATAATCTGGCAAAAATGTGCAGAATTTTTAAAAAGGATAGTTCAAT